GTGGGTAATTCATTAAAAGTGCATTATTTCAAGAAAAGGCTTTTTCAACACACACTTATACAGTATACCCTTCAAGTCTAAAAATCTATCCAGCCCTCAAAGTGAATTGCCAATAAATGCTATTTTGGACTAGTCTGACTTTTTTTGATAGAGGTTTTACAAAGAAAAATTTAAGGCAGTTTATCAAAACAGCATGGTGCTTTTTAAACTAAAATGTATTTATGTTAATAAAATTATATATAAAAAGAAACTCTTATAAGTATGTAAAATTGTTTGATACAATTTGGGTATTTTTTCAAACGAGAAATAAAACTGACTGTAATATCTCTATAAAACCACAATGCAATAACACAAGGGTAATAGATTCTACATTACAGTACCCATATCACTTGGAAATACAGCACTTTCTTGTATCTGACTTCTAGGACACCTGAACGTAGAGTATTAAACAGAGTAAATGTTTCTGGACAAGTAGGACTGATCTTGTTGTCTCTCCATGTCCAGAATATGTTGTGTCAGAAATCTTGGCTTTTGTTCATACCACAGAGTCAGAATGGAACACCTACAATAATGTTAAATATACCAATAAATAATATTATTGGTAATAATTTATGGAGAACAAAAAATAATCAAAAGTGAATACTTAGCCCCCATACACCATACCCAGTCCTTTCAGAAAAATTAGGTTTCCACAAACATCTCAAAGACCATTACTGTGGAGGCCAACAGACCAGGAGGTTCTTCTAAACAGGTGGTGGCATAAGAAAATAAAACTTAACAAAAATTGTTTTCTGTTCTCAGCTTCTATCACCTCACAAAAATCAGCCACTCCTTCCAGGAGGTTCTCAGAGAGGCAAACTCTTGTTCAAGAAGATAGCCCTGAGGGTACCTTGGCACCAGGCTTTATACGCTTTTATAATTTAAATTAGCATTTAGAATTGTATCCAGAAGACAAAGGATAACTAATGCAGGACCCACAAAATAAATATGTAATATGATCACAGCAACAAATGCCATTTAATACAGCATACCAACAGGTAAACGGATGGTGTGATTTGCTTTTACCTACATACCTTTTTTAAATTGAATGTATATACCTACATTCTTATCTTAGGATGTGTTTTGTATTAGGATGTGTTAGCACACATTAAATTTGTCTGAAATGTGTGTCAGACAAAATTCAGATCAGAACTGAAGAAAATGATTATTTGTGATGTAGATTTTTGAAATGAGAGAATTCCACACCCATGAAAGATACAGTTTTCTCATATAATATGAGTAGAAACTGCAATGCTCTGGAAAAGTCCACTTGCAGTCTTTTTCAACTTGCAAAAGAGAGGAGGGATTATCCTTGGATGAAATTTATTTACCGTATTTGCCGGCGTATAAGACGACTTTTTTGCCCTAAAAAACATGCCTCCAAGTGGGGGGGTCGTCTTATACGCCGGTAAATACATTGTCACTCGGTGCAAGAGCGACGGGGGTGGAGCTCCGCAACTTGCGAAGCCCCTTCAAGCCCAGCCGGAGTCTCTCTTCCTCCTCCTCCCACCCGCCCGGCTCGTGGCGCTTGCGGAGGCCAATCTGGAGGTGGGGTGGGGGTGGAGCGGGAGGGTCTCTGGCGGGGCCGCTTCGCCCAGCCAGCCCCGAGCCGCGTAATGGCCTGGGGAGTGGGGGGGGGAGAAGGTGGTGGGGGTGGACTGTGGTGCCCCTCCTTCTGGGCAGCGGGGCGGGGGGCAGCAATTTGCTCCTTCCGCTTCTCCCTCCCTCTTTGAAAGACCGGGAGGGCTGTGCTTGGGGCGGGGGGGGTGTCCTCAGGAAGTTCCTGATGGGACCCCGCTGGGCAGGGCCACCCGGCTCCCGAGCTGCTTTCCAGGGAAGAAAAGGGTCCGGTGGGCGGTGGAAGAAGGCGAGCGCCCTCCTCCCGCCCCCTGTCCCGTCCCGTCCCTCCTCTTGTCCCCTCCTCCCCTCCCCGCTTAAGAGAGAAAGATCTGCCTCCCCTGCACCGAGCTTCCACCTGGCGCCGCGTCTCCCGGCCAGCGCGCGCTTGCGACTTGGGAACCGGCCAAGCGACTTTAAAACCGAGCGGAGACCAGAGATAGCCGGAATTACCCTCCACACCACACACACACACACACACACACACACAGAGAGAGAGAGAGAGAGAGAGAGAGAGAGAGAGTTGGCAGCTGTCCATCTCCCACCCTTGGAGTCCCGATGGCACGCACGCGGGGGCTGTCACAAAGAAAGGTAGAGGAATTGAGTGCCAGCCTGAGAAAGGCGAAACTGCCTCTCTAAAGCATTTTGGTGGCTTTGTAAGTTTGGGGGAAAGGGGTTGGGGGTGTCAATCAAGAATTATATCCAGAATACCCCAAGTGTTACAACTTACCGTATTTGCCGGCGTATGAGACGACTTTTTTGCCTTGAAAAGCATGCCTCCAAGTGGGGGGGGTCGTCTTATACGGTGAGTATATAACAAAAACTATATTTTGAGTGGAAATGTTGGGGGCTCGTCTTATACGCCCAGTCGTCTTATACGCCGGCAAATACGGTATATCAATTTCAACTCTTTTCTATAGTGAATGGACAATATAATTTAACACTACATGGAAAGGCATTCTGCACATTCTATACTTAGTATATTTCTTTATATGGTCAAGAATAGAATATTCATGTTAAATTTGTTTTTATATTGAGCAAGTCCCTTGGTGATAAGGATTATTTCTATTCTAGTTTTAGAAAAACCAGAGGACAAATTAGATTATTATATACCTGCATTTTTTTATCTTGTTCACTGTCACCTATCATCCCAGTGCTACTAACGCTGTCACTTCCATCAATAGACACCTGCAAATAAAAGAGAATAACAACTTAAAAATCTGTTTTGTGCTTGTTCACTTTCACAAAATTTTACTCTCTATGAACTCTTCATCAACCTAATCAAAAAGTCCAGTCTTACACAATAAATTAAGTAGATTTCCCATGGTTGTTTTAAATAACAATTAGAACATCCAAACTACAATTGGCTTAGGGGCTGCAAACAGAATAGGTAGTGCTGCATTGTGCAACTGCAATCTAAGGCACTAAAATTAATTATACTACATCTATGTAAACAAAGGCCAAGATCTCTTAAATATGCCTGATAAATTTCTTAATATTAGTTTGAATGCAGACATATTTGTTCTGCTTATAGAAGAGTCTTTCCTCAAGTGGATTCTATAATTTTCCAGTATAATATTTTAGGAGCCAATGCATATTTTCCTTCTTGCAGGAGTAGGAATACCTAATGAGGCTAATACTTTCCCAGTGGAAAAAAAATTATAGCACACCACTGTTGAAATTCCTAAATCCTTGTTACGTTATTAAAATCATCTTTAAAAATGTAATTATTTTAATATTCTTATCTCCAAGGAACTATATTATAGAACTGATTTATTGACATTAAAATATATTATTAATTTTTTTTACAGTTGAATTATTTATTATCAGAATTATTTTCTCAAGATCTTTTTTGTTTGCTTCAAATATAAAATATAAAACCAGAAATGCTATATTTCTATTAATCATTTAATATCTGGTATATCCACTATGTCAACATTTCTTTGATTGTACTTCTAATGGTTTGCTGTACTCCACTCTAGTCTATTTCCAACCCCCATTCAAACCCTTTCTGAACATCAATTCTACTATATATTTAAGTACAGCCAGTTTGGTTTAAATAACAGGATTCATATACTGCATAGGATTTCCTTAAATATGTTTAGTGAATGAGCTACAATTATGAGTTCACACAACATGCTAAACCATTAACAAGCATACCATATATGACCCTGACTATAGGCTACTCCCCTGTTACAATATATTTTAATTGCAATATAATTCATTTTGACGTTATCATGTTAACTATTATAAACTATATGTAGTTGTAGAGCAAAGTACCTTGGCTGCATATTGTTCCAGAGCAGTTATGGTATCTGGGTCAATAGTAGCATCTCCTGTGTGAAGACCTGCCACTGTGCCATCTGCCTGAATAGCTAATATGGTGTCCGATTGTGGCACTTGTACTGTATGGTGAATGTAAGCAGTGGTCCCATCTTCTAGTTGTACTGCTTGCAGGGCACTCTGGTCATAACTGTCTGATAAATTATTTAAGATGAATATTAAGACAATAGATCATCTATCTGTCATAGAAGAACACCATCCTATTGTGAATTATTTCATTCATTATGGAATGGAATATGAGTACAATGTCTAAATATCACTAGAACTACCAGCTCCCCAGATATATTCAGCAACTTATATAGATGGCCCATAATATCTTTAGCCACCCAGGCAGACAAGTAACCTAAAATCTGCATGTTCTCACAAACTTACCTATCTAAGTTTCGAACCATTAAATCACCTATGAATAAAATCCTACAGGTCTGGGATATTTCTTAAAGTATGGCATTTTAAGGTCATTGTTAAAATGAAGGAATATATACAGTTCAACTGACATTAAAATAAGAATATGTGTATGAATTTATTCATAGAAGGTTTAGCAGTTAATATCCAGCATTTAGAGGGCTAAATCTAATTACCACTTTACATATTTATGCATCAGTAATTTTGTACATTAGCAAAATAACTTTTTATGCTTCATTCTCAGGATAAATTTAAGAACATAGGTATGAAGCCATATGGATTCCCAGAAAAAAAAGTTATTTGGAGTGTCTATGAGTGCATTTGTCTTACTTCATTAAATAAAATCCACCCTCAAGGAGTTATCAATTGGTAAATAAATGTGTTCTGAATTGCTTCTCACTTTTGAATCCAGATCATTGCATGGACCTACTTCAGAATAAACTGAGTTGTCCTTACAATTATACGATGTTTTAATTGTTTTTCTTTAAACTTATGCAGTAAAAAATTAATGAATTCCAAAGATTTCAGATAACAAAGTGAATTTCTTGTTTTATGATATAAATACAATTTGAAATATACTGGTTATTTGCAACATTGTTTATGTGATTAGCAATAAATGTGTTGTTTTGTATTTTCCATCAGCAAAATGACATCAATGGTACTTGTCTGTTGAAAGAAATAGCTCAGATGATTTTGTTTGATGTCATTCTGTAATCCCACATGCTCTCTCCGGAAATAGGGGAATTAAGACTGAAAGCCACAAAGACAGGAAGTGAAAAATACTTTCTCCAAGTGAAAGCATATGCTAACATTTGGGCATTTCTGTAAAGAAATGTATTGATGTATGTATAGGACAAATCTTGAATAATGTATTTCATAAATTGAAGAGAAATTGAGATAACCTTACTGGAAAGTCAACAATATATTGACATATAATTTACCTTTTGAGGCATGATGTATAAAGGCTGTTGTTCCATCTTCAAGCTGAACTGCCTGCCCATCTTCTAAATGAAGACTGTCTCCTACATCAAAAAAGGAAAAACACAATTTTAATAATGCAATATCTTAGAATTACAAAAGTTCCAGCCCTTATTTTAATATTTTAACTTGCACTAGAAAATATATTAATAATGAATTTTAAAATTCAAATATATATATATATATATATACAGAGAGAGAGAGAGAGAGAGAGTGTGTTCAAATAATAAAGCATTATAATTAATTTTATCATGAAGTCAATAGACTGAAATTTGTATTTAGTGAAATATACTTACTACTTTTAGACATGGGAACATGTTGGACATAGGCAGCTGAGCCATCTTCCAGCTGTATCACCTGGCCATCCATTAATTTGCCATCTGAAATAGAAGTATATTAGATAACAGATAATTAGAATTGGAAGAGACCTTATAGGTCATCTAGTCCAACCCCCCGCCCAAGCGGGAGGCCCTACACTATTTCTGACAAATGGCAGTCCAATCTCTTCTTGAAAGTCTCAAGTGATGGCGCTCCCACAACTTCTGAGGGCAAGCTGTTCCAGTGTTCCTATTGAATACTGAACAGCACATCATCTCCATCAAGAGGAGCAAGCTGCAAAAAAACAGGCTACACTGCAAATTTAAACCCTGGAATGCATTTTAAAAATGCAGAAATATTTTCCATAGGTCATTCTCCAAACTCAGCATCCAACATCTTTCTTGCTGCACTGGAATTACTGTATACAGAAAATGTCCTCAAGTTGCTTGTCTCAAGTTGAATCAGATCACATGTTGGGAGGCTGAGAAGCTGAATTAATATGACTGTCCTCTCACTTTCCCGGACAGATTATTAAGGAAGAGATCATATAGACTGGAAGACATCCTAGGGGTTCATATATTCTGCTGATTTTGGATTGGTGCTCATAATGCAGGCAAGAAAGTAAGATCCACTTACATTAATGTTAATTCTATTTTGACTTCATCATTTTTTCACTCAAGTAAAACAGCTAGGGGAATGAGTGTACATATGGTACATATGGTATATGTATGTGAAAATCAGAGGATTTAAAAAAATATTTTCCCTTTTCTCAATCAAACAAGCAATTCAAATTCATTTTCAGGAGAATAAACATTGGGATGCTGTTTACATATATATAGACTGATCTGGATTTCAAGGGAATGTAATTATACCTAATTTTTTTTTAGAATTGACCCCAATGTTACATTTTAAACTAATTTTTAAATAAAATGCCTACAAAAGTTCAATTTTTAAATAAAATGGCTAAAAAAAGAACAATTTTCTAAGCCTTCAAAGGTCCCTTGAGATATGGTTATGCGGGCAGGTCTGGAGACCCAAGATCATGTAAACTAGTGAGGTGGCTCCGTGACTATTAACATCCTCTGTTTATTATTCTTGATTTTTAATGTTTTTAAATTTTGTTAATGATAATGATTTTAGATGTTTATTCTTTTAGTTTTGTTTTAGTCTTGTATGCTGACCAGAGTCACTTGCTTGTGAGATGGGCAGCCAGCCAGTCAGCCAAATCTAAATCTGAACACACACAAAGGTTCTGAATTAATGAATATAGCCCTAATTCTTTCAGCCAAGCTTCTATTAATATTCATAACGAATACAATAATTTTGTAAACTGGTCACAGCATGGAAGAATAAATTTCTGAGATTATTTTTACTAAATAAATTGCAATAATGCTATTCTAGATATACCTTTTGAATTGTGTTGTATGTAGGCAGTGGATCCATCAGAAAGAGTAACTGCCTGTAAACTCACTCCTTCCATATTGTCCAAGTTGTCTCCATCTACAACAATTAAAAAAAACCTGGTATTAGTATTTGCAGCACTTACTGCACCTCTACTGCATGAATTACTAAGGCATAACCTTTGGGATAAATTTTGAGTGAATTTTAAGTTCAAATAGATTTGGGCTTGTTGGAAATCCAAAAAACTTACCTTGTACAGCTACAGCTTCTGTTAAACAGAGTGTTACATGCTGAGCTTCCATCCCTCCTCCAGAGAACTCTGTCATTCCCTGAGAATCCCGATTTATCTGGGCTAATAACATTGTCTACCTAAACATAACAGAAAATGAATACAAATATTTGAATTATATTCAAACAGCATTCCTTACACCAACACTTTAATATTTCTCAGACCATTAAGTATTTGTGATTAATTTTTAAGGAATAAATATTTTTGCAAATACTGATAATCCTCTAATGAGGCATTGCAAGAATCCTTGCTTCTCCCAGAATTCTTGTCTGAATTATTTTTAAACCTTACTTTGAATAGTTTTGTCCTTCAAGGGAAAATATTGTGACATGTTAAAGGCTCAAATATTAATAAACATTCTGAGGGGAATAGTTTATGCACTGAAGTGGAAAACGTTCTAAGGAATTATATCCCTTTCTAAATAAGAAGAAATTGGGGATTGAAACAGAAATATACAAGATTGATTTATTTTAAAGAAAAGACCACAGCATTCATACAAGGTCAAGTCAATTAGCTAATGCAATTGATACCATTGAATAATAAAATAGGGTCTTCAGCTGAGTTTTCTACATTTGCTCTGCACATGTAGAAAAACCAGCTGTTGGGCCCAGAATGGTCAGTTTGTTCTGCAATAGCTATTAAATAAAAGAAAGCAAGTGGCAGCACTGAGCTTTCAAAAAGGCTAATCAGATCAGACTTAAGGCTAGCTATCACAGAAAATTCCAGGGTGATAGGGTGTACTGCAAATCAAAAACATCTTGGAAGATGACAGTAGCAAACCAATTCCATGTAGTTGCGAAAACCCCCACAATTTTCTTTGTATGTACATATCAAGAGCTGAACTTGTCTCCAGAATATTGAATACTCAAAGGATACTTTACTTTTTTTCCACAAAATATTGATATTACAAGTTATTATATTACAAGTTATAAATTAGAATAGACATTCCTGGGAGTCCAGTTTCATTTGATGGATATAGTTTCTGACATTGCATATTTTTGTGATCGGGGACTGAATAAAATAAAATTCAGGTACATGATATGGTATACTTTTTAAAAAACTTTTGTGGGCTTTAGCAGGATTTACTTGTTAATCTTAATCTACTTTATATATTTTTTTAAAGCAGAAAACTGAGCTGCTAATTTTTGGCTTTTTGCTGTTGATTTGCAAGAATACAATCCTGCAATGACCTGAGGACCACAAAAAACAGACAATGAGTTAACATAAGGAGACACAGTGCCTTTGATTGCTAATTCTTCTCATATATGCTCCTCAAAATCAGCATGTATTTTTAGTCTTTTATCTGTTTCTCTGTACATGCTTTTTTACCTCCTGCTGTCTCAGCCATCCTAGGATAATTTCATATTCCGTGTTGTCTGTGCAACAGACCTGTACTGTCACTGTGATTCCTATTTTGTTTTTAATTATTTCTCCCACTTTTGTTATTTATTATAATTTATTTATTATTTATGATTGTTAATTATTATTCAGAAACATGCATAAGGAAAACTGAAAAAATAAATAAATTCATCAATAAATCCTGGCTTATTCACAATTATAAATCCAATAATAGAATCAAGGAACATCAGGGTAGGTATTTTGCAGCAACCCATTTACAGTAACAGAGGGTGCAAAAAAAATAGTACCATATTTTTCGCTCCATAAGACACACTTTTTTTCCTCCAAAAGTGGGTGGAAATGTCTGTGTTGGTGTGGATCCTTTGGTGAATAGCAGCTGGGCCGTGGTGGCAGGGTCCTTTTATAGTGCTGAGCCCCACCTCTTCTGTCTTTGTCATTGCCCGCCTCTTCTGTCTCTTTTCCGCAGTACAGGGGTCAATAGGCAGAGCTGGCACATGAGAGGACACTTATCTATGGTCCTCATGGGCTCCACCTGATTTTTTTTCTTGTTTTCCTCCTCTAAACCTAGGTGCGTCTTATGGTCAGGTGCGTCTTACAGTGCAAAAAATATGGTACTTTCACATTTTAAATTACAATTTTAAGTATAATTAAAACTCAGAAGTATGCTTTGGTATATTCTATGTGTGGATAAGATTACCAAAATCAATGCATAGAGCATTTTAACTCTTAATGTTAATTAATTTGACAACAGATCATAGGTTTTTCTTAAATGCAGCTTAGTTTTATTAATTAGTTTCATTAAAATTACCAAGTATATTTTCTTTTCTTTTTTTCCAAGTTTTTTATTTTATTCTATATATACACATCAATGCATAAACAGTGTGGCACCTAAGCATCATACATTTTAGTGCAAACAAAAATAAGAACATTAATTGTATCTCTTACATTGATCAAACATATAATTCTAATGTTAATACACATATTTGTATTAAATTATAATCCTTCATTATTTAATTATTCAACATTCCGGTATATTCTTCAAATGCCAATCACCATATTGTTTAAACATACATGATAATTTCAATATTCAATTTCTTCTTTTGTTTTTATATTTAAAAAAACCCATCTCTTTTGGCGAGCAGTGTGGTTCCAGGTTTTTACATTTCAATACAAACACGAACATAGTTACATATTCATCTTTCTTATTCAATTTCATATCACATTACTTATTCTATTTTCTTTTAAATATTATCTAATATTAAATTCATTAAACTTATTTTATCCAATTTCAGTTCATATTTTATTTCATTTTTCTTAAAAAGTTCTCATATCTTACTTTACAATATTATCTGAGATTATTTCATTTCTATATTTATTTCACATATTACTTTTATCTGTCACATTTGCAATTTTATCACATACTATTATTCCATTTATTATTCAATAATTTCAACTTTGTTCTAATAGTTCAAGAGATTGTCCCCTTTGGTTGTCAATTCGAGCTTACCACCTATTTACCTTGTACTTTCCTCCATTTATTCCCTTTAATTCATTATATAAATTTACCATAGTATAGTCATTTTTTTAAATTACCTCGTTCCACATTAATAACAATATTCTCCTATCTACTACATATCACATATGCATATATATTTTAAGTCAGATTCTGCATGGTATTCTTTTTCTCAGTCACCTTATAAATCATCTATATATTTCAAAACTATTAACCTATTCAGTCAATTAAAGAAACTGAAATTAATCTTTCCATTATGAATCTCATAATTCATTTTAATTTTATTCATTGCTAATTATAAATTAATATTCTTATAATAAATTCCCATGTCCATATCTATTTCAATAAAATCTATATCTGGTAAAATGATAATCCTTAAAAAGAAAAAAAATCAGTTCCGATCTTACCTATTTTCAAATCCTTATTCTTATATATCACAACACATTACCTTGCAGAATCTCCTTCCCTATCCTTCTTTTACCCATTGTCTCTCACCCTCCTAATTATGTAATTTCTTTTCATTCTTGTTTGCTTACTGCCTCTCTTTATTTTCTGGTCCTTTCTCTTAATTCTCCTTTTCCCCTTAATTATTTCCCTCCATTTCTCATTCCAGTTATTTTATCCCCCTCCCTCTCTCGATCTTTCTTCTGTAATTCCCTCTTCTGCTTTTTCCTTTTCCTTGGTTTAGCTTTCCGAACCATTCCCCCTTTCATTATCACATCAAACCACAAATTTTAAATTTTAATTCTTTCCCCCCGTTTAAATGTTCATTGTTCCACTTGATCTTCAAGACTGGTTTCCTCTTTATTCAACTCCTTTCCCTCTGGTTCTCTTTATTCTTCTTCAATCAGAATTGCCATTTCTAGTTTTTGTAGTATATTACTGCACATTTACAAGCTTACTTTCATCATTTCCTTCATTTCCTTCTTGTAAATCCAGTCTCATTTCCGCAAATAATTCTCACATTTTGTATGCTGCTCCTTCCCCCTCCCTTCCTTGATACTTATATAGAATAGAATTCTTTATTGGCCAAGTGTGATTGGACACACAAGGAATCTGTCTTGGTGTTAGGGTTTGAGGATTAACCCCTAGAAAAGTATTGCAGCAGTAGT